ACGTTCATTGCCTTTCATTGCAGCTGCACAAAGTTATTTGCAGCTATTTTGAAAATCTATGAAACTCTAATTTAAAGCAGAATGCTAAGATTGTTCTAGTCAGTTTGGTTTGTTAAACGTCGAAATTTCACACAAATTGAAATTTTTGAGAATTTTAAAGTTTACGGAAAGACCACAAAAAAAAGCTTCTTTGAAGTTTCCCAACATTCAGAGGGCTAAAACATTTAAAATGTAGAGAACAAAGTAAAGTTATCTTATAAACAAGTCAATTTTAAAAAGAGGAGAGTATAATACAACAAAAAAAAGTTACAAATCTATTGATAAACCTCAATTTTCTAAACCGCTGAAAAAAGTTCTTTTGTTATCCAACATATTGCTCCTACAGAAAATTTAATTTTTCAGCTTGAAAAATAATGAAAACTTAAATAGTCATCAACAAAGAAAACTGCTAAAAAATTAACAGAAAATATGAAATGATCAGAGTGTTTGTAAAACTTAAAAATTAAACTTTGTTCTGCTTCAGTACACTCTTTTACACAGTGCATCGCATAATGGTCACTTGGAGGTGGTAAAATTTTTGGTTGAAAATGGTGCTGATGTTAGTGCAATGCAAAAGGATCAGGTAATATTTGATTACAAAAGAAGATATAACTTTCGATAGCTTTTTTTTTTCGCCATTTTTGTAACTGGATTTCCGTCGTAATGATAAAATTTTCTTAATCTAAAATTTCGCAGTGAGAGAAAAAAGTTTAAAATCTGCATGATTTTTTAAAAATTCTGACAATCTTCCAACTGGTTTAAGTGGAAATTTTATACAGAAATTTTCAACAATAAGGGGTTTACGTGCCACAAACTAATGAAAAAGTAGCAATAAATTAATGAAAAATTAATAGTAGTAACTAAAAAGACTAGTTTTACGATTCACCAACAGCAAAAATTTAGGAGATTGTTGCAGAAGAGGGGGTCGAAGTAATTGGTATAAAGAAAAGAGATACTTTTTATGACGTTTGTCAAAATTAAACTTTTTAAAACTCTGAAAAAAAAAAATTTGTTGTCAGCGAGTACAACTCCGCCACGATGGATTCACAACTGCAACTCGAAAAAGTTGTAGAAAAGTGTAACGCATGCTGTTAAAAACTGTTAAAAGTACAGAAGGTATTTTGAAATCAGGTTGAGTGTCTTTGAAGGACAAAGAATGATAACAGCTCTATTGTTTTGTTTAGCTCAAACCGTTACATTATGCATCTTCTTGCGGTCACGTCGAAGTGGTGAAGTATTTATTGGAGAATGGTGCTGATGTTAATGCAAAGCAAAAAGATCAGGTACAATCATTTAAATATGCATAAAAAGATAAAGTTTTTGATTGCTTTTTGTTGTTCCTCCAAAAAAATTTTTTTATTCTGTTCTATTTTCCTTGTGCGGTTTATTTTACTTTAATTTCTCAAGATGGCTGTACAAGACGGTTCTTTAAGTCATCTTCCGATACTTGTGCCATTCTTCAAACTGTTGCTGACTGAAGAGACTTTTTAATTTTCGTACAAGCACCTGTTGCGAAACCCATGAAGTGCAGTGTATAAATAACAGAAGAATGTTCTTGCAGGAATTTTTTTGAATATGTTAAGTTAGGACAAGAACGTATGAAACACATACGAACAATATGACAAAAACTTAGTGATAGCAAAACAAAAGTTTATATAACATTCAGGAATTAAACGAGAAGAAGGCAAACATAGATGAACTCCATATTTAGCAATGCTAATTAATAACTAAACGTGTTAGTAGCCGATGTTATATGCAAGCAACATCTGGGAGAAAGATAAACTGAGAAACAAGATAGGTCCAGTTGCCCACTCTTCTCTACTTTACATTTCTTGGACCTTTGCTGTTTGAAAATTCAAAACTAAGGAGTTTTTCAATCCTCTTCCCCAAATTTCGGTCTCCTCAGCAGGAAGTTTTTATCGATGCCTTCATTGTATAACATAAATTTTTGAAACACAGTCATCTCTGCTAGAGTTTTCCATAGCTGGGTATTTAGAACATCTTCATTTGACCGCAACTTAAACGAACTTGTGATCGCTGCTCTGTTTTTTGTCATTTCTTTTCCTCGTATTCACCCAGTTCGTAACACTTTGAGGTTGTCTCGCAGCAAAGAAACGAAAAGGTTTCGCTGATCGTTATTATTGCTGTAAATGAAAGAAACTGTAGATGCGCCCTGATTTCTATACCAGTGTTTTAATTAGTTACATCTCGTCCAATCTATCAGCGTGACAAAGCGCTTAACCTAAAAAAAGTCAAAAGTTTGACACCGACTATTAGAAAGCTATGAAGGACTGATAGACGACTAAATAAATTTTTTGAGATTTATTATAGGAAACAGTTTGATCGTTTTTTCTAGGGAACGCCATTACATTATGCGTCTTTGAACGGCCATCTTGGCGTAGTGAAGTATTTGGTGGAGAGAGGAGCCGATGTTAATGCAAAGCAAAAAAAATGGGTAAAGTTTATATACCTCAGTGGATTTTCGAGAGCTTACTTCCTATTTCGCGGAAAGCATTTATTGAAATTTTAAAATTTTATCAAAGGTTTAATTACACAGTAGAAAAAAGAGGATCACTTTATTTACTTTGATGTATTTAAAGCTATTTTAATGTATTTAAAGCTTTTTCGAAACTCTAAAAAAATCCATTGTCATCAAACAGGTTGCCGTCACAGCACAGTTTAAGTTGAAGTTTAGGAAGCAAAGCAAAAAAAGTTTGACGTTAATCTTAAAAGTTGGAATGATTGTAAAAAAACTGAAAACATAAAGTCTGCAGAAGCTGTTAGTTGGATATTTTTTTCAGGGAACACCGTTGCACAGAGCAGCTTCTAATGGCCATCTTGACATAGTGAAGTATTTGATGGAAAATAGGGCTGATGTTAACGCAAAAGGAGAAAATGAGGTAAACTTTGGTGATGAGATACGCTTAATTTTTGCTATTTTTTGCCGTTTTCGCAACGGGGTGCTGATAAAATTTAAAAGTCGTCTCAGGGCAGAAAGGAAATAGTCTTTTTGTTGCATAATCAAAGTTCAGATTTTATAGAAAAATTTAAAAATTATTATAAATTTTTTTTTAAAATTTATGAAATAGCTCTGCGGAATATTTTTTTATCATGTAAAAGACCTATACCGCTGTACAGATTAATAACTGGTAAAAAAGTAATAAAAATATGAAAATCAAAAATAAGTTAACTGAATAATGACATTCTGTAACTAGAAAATCAGGACTGAAAAAAAGAAGCGGAACTTATTAGCACATACAATGCAGTTGTGTTTTAACTTGTGTTCTAAGATTGAATTTCTTTGAAACTCCAAGGAACAACTCATTACCAACAGATACATTTATTACTCAAGTACGCCCAAAATTGCAGCTTAAATAAAAGGCTCAAGAAAGTCTAGGTCTCCTTGTAAAAAGTGGAAGTTGAAAAAAAAGTTTGCGAAATTTGCCGAAATAAAATAGGCAGTTTTTTTTTTGTTTCAGGGAACAGCATTGCACAACGCGGCTTCTAATGGCCATGTTGACATCGTGAAGTATTTGGTGTTAAATGGAGCCGATATCATGGCAAAGGAGAAAAATCAGGTAAAATGTGACTGCAAGAAATGGCTGATTGTTGTTGCTTTTCTGAAGTGTTCAAAGCAGATGTCTTTTTGAAAGCCTAAACTTTAAGACACAGATTTGGAAAAAAAAGTAAACAGTTTCTTTTTCAGTTATTGTACTTTACATTTTATATAAATTTTTGGAACAAAATAAGCAGTCTAACTTGAAAACCTAAAAATTAATTTAAAATGTACTCCCCGTTAGAACTAAGTTTGGTTACAAGGTTTAAAAAATTTGTGCTACAATCTTTGTTGAACGATATGTAGAACTATATACAATTTTTTTTGTATTTTGGACCTGAACGGGTGTTCTCACTGAGTGAGCTGACTTTTTATCAATGTGAAACTCATAGCGATAAAAAAGTGTTGTAGAAAAAACTTTAATTAAAACATATTCAAATTTCTTACATAGCGGAAAAAGAGATTTTTAGAAAAGTTGATGTGTTTTATGGCCTATTTGAATAAAGGCATAATTTTTCTACCAGCCATCGTCATTTACTTTAGCATCAAAAAGTATTATCATCCCTTTTTTTTTCAGAAAAGTGCGCTTGATCTTGCTCGGAAAAAACATCATTTCGAAACAGTCGAATATCTTTACGAATTGCAAAAAGGACCTCTAATACATTTATAATCAAATTTTTGCTGGTTATTATTACTCTCAAATAGGCTGAGTTTGCTTGACCATTCAGTTTCCAAAAGCAGCAGTTTTTTTAGATAGCAACTCAAAAATTTTTTAATTCTATTTGTAAAGTTTTGATTTCAGAAGTGTTCAGTAGAGTTCATTTAAAAAATTTCAGCAGAATTTTACTGCTTTTGCCAACCACGTTGCCAAGGCCATATTCTAGTGGTTCCTAGAATGGCACTCTGGTTCTCTTCTTTTCTCAGTATCAAAGTTGGTTATATTCGGTCAGAATCTCAGCAAATTTCTATGAAGTATTCTTAACAGTCAATTCTTGAAGCAGAGTCATTGCTACTAGAAAAAGCTCTTTATACTCGTAGAAAAATATCACCTAAGCGAGACCTAAGCCAGAAAAATTTACTGACTACTTTGGCTTTACTTTTCGTTTTGGAAAATCTCAAAAAAATTTGTTTTGTAATTGCTACTACTTACTGTTCAATTTTTTTCTACAGAGCGAGTCTTTTCTAAAACATTCAGTGCTTTTCAACTTGTTTAGAAGACAGCAGTTAAACTTTATATATAAAAGTCGAACTATATTTGTTTGCTTAATTATCTTACCTTCTTAACTTTTGTTTGACTTAAATACGTGATTATTATGTATTATATGCTAATCAGTGTTTGTTAATTTCAAAATTTTATCACTTATCGCTTGTTATACCGCCTGATACTGCTAATATGGCAGGCGCAGCAGTTCAAAATCTACAAAAAAAAATTTGTTAAGTGTAGTTATGCCATAAAGCATCTGATCAGACCAATAAAAGAAAGGAACGAATATTCTACATCACTTGGCAAAACAGTAATAACGACTCAGAATAATAAGGAAAAATCGTAACGCTGAAGTTCTTGCTCGCCCTTGTAACAGAATTACATTTTGTCGCAGATTTTGATTCCACATTACCAAAAAACTGCGACATTATATCCATCCACAATTTTATTTTTAATACCTTCTTGTTCAGGTCGGTTTAAGCCAGTTGAAAAATTCTGCTTTTTGAAAAAATAACCCCTTAAAAAGTTTGCTTCAACAAATCTGACGTATATGGTAGTTTACTCTACTGCATACAAAAAATGTTAATAAGCACTATAATCAATACAATTTCTAGTTGCAGTTTTTTGATACTGTGCAGGTTCGTAATTACTAGATAAGAGCAATTTGTTTTCAGAAAAAGTACTGTGTTTTCTATTAGTATTGATAAAGTAATTGGAAGTAATTTGAGTCTAAAGGAATCATTTTGTAGATTTTAGCTTAGAATCAAATTGCATCAAATTGCAATTATTTTAAGAAAAATATGCAGCCGAGTTTGAATAGAGCGGCGACAACCCTTTTAGTCGTGATTGAAATGTGCTGTTCTTCTTCATTTTTACAAAGTATTCTAAAGCTGTTCTATTTTCTTGCAGTTACAAGATGATTACACTTTGGAACAGTAAAGTCTCGTTGTTGCCAATACCGCAAAAAACCCAGGAAGAAATAAAGACTATGTGTAGCGACCTTTTTTAAATTTACCTAAGTTTCTCAGTCTCACTGATGAATATTTCACGACACTTTATATTATATGTGAGATCTTTGCTGCGTTTGGCTAACAATTGATGTTCTAAATTTCATTGACAAAGAATCTGAAACCAAATGAAACACAACGTAAATAAAAAAGGTGAGATTTACAAACAAAAGGATGCAATAGATAATAAAAAGAAACAGAATACCGGCAAGAA